TGTCCAGTGCTGCCTCAGTACCTCCTGAAACGTAATAGGAACTAGGGAACTCACCTTCTACCCCTTGAGTTAGCCAAATGACATGGAAGTTTAAATCTAATAGGAACTGAATCAGCAATTAAAAACACACTGGGAAATGATGGAGAGAGGACAAAGAGATAAAGACATAGGTCAATGTCATTTACTGAGGTAAAAAGATCTTGTTTCTGGTCATAACAGTTGAGGCTGGTTAAAAGGTGCTGAGGAAGATGGGTGCAGGGCAGTTGATGTTTTATACATATTCACATGGAAATTATGACAATCGAGAGTATCATTATTCTACTCTTATAATGGTATTATAGCAGCAAAGTAATACAAGGGTGAAAAGAATCAAAACAAGAAGTCAGGGGAAAAATCATAAATAGAACATCTTTCTAGGGAGACAAAGTGTTTAGAAAGATACATGTATAAGCTGGGAAAACTGAGTGTGAAGTATGATTCAGAGGTGGAATGACTCTACAGGACGGTGGAAAGGTAGGTAGGATAGTTAGTAGATATAAGATGAATTAAAGTAACACATTTAGAAAAGAGTGTGTACAGGATGAGATACTGGGGGGAGACTGTCAAAACAGTGAGAAGACAGTGACAGACGGTAGAATCTTTTGTATTCTGTCAGCTTCAGGAGTGAGGAGAGCTACAAACACAGAGAGTCTAATTACAAAGTAATAAGATCTCAGCAAAAGTTGAACTGAGTAAGCAGCATTCTTTATGATAATGATACTATAAGGAGAAAAGCATAACGAGAAAACTATATGTAAGCCATGTAAATATAAACAGCAATTAGAAGCTGGGCATCATACTTTAAAAAAAATCATATGATCTAGTTAGCGCCACTTAGAGGCAAAGTCTACGGGGGAGTCTGGGTAGGTTTCCAGTTCTAGTTCCATCAAGTGGGCTCAGACTCATGGCAACCCCATGTGTGTCAGATAGAACCGTGCTCCACAGGGTTTTCAAAGGCTGATTTTTCAGAAGTAGATCACCAGGCTTTTCTTCCAAGGAATCTCTGGTTATTACCTGGGCTTGTTCACCATTTTCATCACCCAAGGACTCCCTGGGTAGGTTAATGCCAGAAAAAGGATGAGGTCATGAGGTGAAGAATTTGCATTTTGTATAAAACTGAAAAACCAAACCTGATGCTGTCGAGTCAATTCCGACTTACAGCGACTGTATAGGACAGAGTAGAACTCTCCCATGGGGTTTCCTAGGCTGTAATCCTTATGGAAGCAGACTGCCACATCCTTCTCTCAAGGAGCAGCTGGTGGGTTCAAACCGCTGACCTTTCAATTAGCAACCAAGTGCTTAACCACTGCGCCACCAAAGCTCCATTTTGTATAGAAGGGTTAAATCGAGACTGGCATGCTGGAGAGCTTCTGCAGACCTGTGGTTTTTCCCACTGGTCTAAATCAGCACCAGTATACTCAGTGGGTACAGGTGCATTTCCAAATCACCTCATCTCTCTTACCAGGAGTTATTACCACCAGGGAGAACTTAAATAAAAAACAAAAAACAAACCAAACCCGTTGCCATCGAGTGGATTCCAACTCATAGTAACCCTATAGGACAGGATAGGACTGCCCCATAGAGTTTCCAAGGGGCGCCTGGTGGATTCAAACTGCTGACCTTTTTTGGTTAGCAGCCGTAGCACCTAACTACCATGCCACCAGGGTTTCCAAGGCGGAATTTAGGACTGAAAAATACTGAAGCTCACTTTCCTATGCAGGGTGTTGAAGGATTGCAATGATTGCTGAAGCTGGCCTGAGGGCAAGGATGGGTGGAAACCAGAATCAACCAATTTAAGAACTGGCAGTGTAGTTGAGGCAAAAGATCATGGTATATAGCAAGTGTATAAGAAGAAAATTAAAACAGAAGTGTCTGATAATACAGCAAGAGGTTTAGAGAATTGAAGGCTTAAATTAAGATTTGAGGACGAGGACGAATAGGAAGTTGTGAATAGAAAAGGGGGATTCTGGGGCTCTTCAGAAAGAAAGAGAATTAACATTTATGTATTGTTTGTTATGAGTTTCCTGATACTTTGCTAGAGATTTATACAACTTACTGAATCCTCATAAAACTCTGTGAGATAGATTTTTTTTTTTTAATCTGCCATTTTAAAGGGAAATGAAACTAAAATAGCCTTAGTAACCCATCAGGGTGGAGTGGAGTCCAGGCCAGGTTTGCCCTTATCACTATGTCAGGCTGCTCCCCAAACCCCCTCTGCCATTCTCGTTGAGGTTCTAACCACAGTGTATTGCCATGGCCTCGCTCATTAACTGCACTGTAACTCCTTGTTCGATGTCCCTGAATGGTACAAATGGTAAATGCCCTCAGCTGCTAACTGAAAGGTCAGAAGTTCGAATCTACCCAAAGGCACCTTGAAAGAAAGTCCTAGAGATCTACTTCTGAAAAATCAGACAATGAAAACCCTATGGACCACAGTTCTACTTGGACACACATGCGATCTCCATGAGTCTGAGCTGACTTGGTGACAACTGGTTCTGTGTGTTTGTTTGTTTGTTTCAACTCCTGTTCAGTCCCTTGGTGCTCAGCAAATAGGCGGCAAATGAACTCATTAAATTAATATCTTGCTCAAGTTTACAGAGTTAGTAAGTGGTAGAATGGAGGGTTGAATCCAGATCTTTCTGATTTCAAAGTCCATGGTTTTTCACTGCATTAGGCTAACTTGGAAATGGAGTAGTTTGTTGGCCGGTGACACAGGTAGAGTGGGCATCAGATCTGTTGATTTGAGGTGGTTGAAAATAGTGAGCCTAGGGTATTGGGAAGTAAATTTGGAGTCACCAAGGATGATGGCAAGGGATAGGACCGAAGGCTGAGACTTCTGTAGCCAGCACAGAAGGAGATGGGACAGAGTCCTGGAATTTAGAAGATGATGTTGTCTATGATGATAAGGGGGGAGGGGGTTGTGAATGACAAAAAAAAAAAAGTCATCAAATTAAAATAAGAATGATCCAGAGATGATGGTAGAACAATGGTCTGAGAAATGGATTGGGGTATAAGGAATCGTATTCCTGTGAGATGGGGAGAGGAGAAGCAGCAGAAGCTTCCTTTGGACGAGATTAAGCTAAAGCCAGATACCGGTTACAGGACAGACATACAAGAAGCACTTATTGGAATGGGTGAAAATGTAGGAAAACAGAAATGCAGAAGATAGGGGAAGAGGCTGCAGAAGAGAAAGAAGATTCAGAGAAGGCTGAAAGTTCTAGAATAGATGGTTGGATATAGGGGTGGCATCTAGTAACCAGGGTATTGATTCTAACTACCCAGGGAAAAGGAAGTAGAAGAGTTGGTAATCTTCTAGATGGAGGAGGAGGCAGGGTTGAATCATCAGAATTTAGTTACTGATTGAAATGGAAGAAATAGCTACATCCAAATTCCAGCTGTAGGAGTTAAAAGTAAAAATGAGATCGAATCATATTTTCCTCCAAGTGAAAAGAGGCATAATTCTAAGGCTGTCTCGTTTTTGTTAAAAACCACCAACACCTGGTAATCTGTGCTGAAATATCCTGAGTATTTTGTCTTGAGAAAGTTGCTATCATTTTGACCTCTACAAAATTGCTTTCTAGGTGCTGCGGTTTGACATACAAAGTACCCAGCAGTCTTCAGTATCAGGTGAGGTGAGAGAGGCAGAGCATTCCCACTCAATAAATCCGGGTCATTGGCCCCTCAACCACAGAGTGTTTATATTTGACATGTGAAAGGATTAGTACAAGGTGCAGATGGAATATTAGGGGAGAGATGATAACAATCTACTGTTGTTCTATTGCTTTCCCTATAAACCACACACAATTTTCCTCCCAATTTCAGTCCGGGAAGTAAATACATTTATGAAGGACTTTCCTAACGTGAAGGGATAAAATTTAAAGTAAATACTGATTTCTCTCTTGTATGCTCTGTTCTGTATAATACTCTTGCCTGGTAACTGGAATATAATGTATCCTGGGTTAAAAGAAAAAAAAACAAAACAAAAAAGACAAACAAAGTCAACTGTCTTTCCTGGATATTTTCTGTGCTAGGACATTCACTTTCAAGGTAACATATCCAGGATAAAAACTCACATACATTTTACCAGGTAGTTGTTGATTTTAAGCTGAAAAAGAGGAGCACTTATACTAAGGCTTTTTACAGGAAAAAAAATTACAATTTAAACCCATTATAAGCTCTAATTCATAATTGCTATTTAATTGTGTGGCCTCGCTTCAGCTTTGCAAGCAATACATATGTAAAAATAGACCTCTTATCTGTGACCCCTCTTGGTACTTTTACACACACAAACACACACACACACAGAAAAAGAAGAGGTAGCACAGGGAAGAGTTGGATGAGGAGATTTAAGAGGTTAAAACCATGCCGGGATGGCTAAACCACTCAGGAATGGCATCAGAGAAATGGAATTTAATGTAACCAAAGAGACATACTAGAGAAACTTAATAGCAAAGCTGTTGTAATTTCTAGATGAAAAACAAACTGTGGGTTAAATTGGGGCATATTTGGGTGATCCATGTCTTCTTACACATGTGCTTATTTCATTCATTTAATTCCTAATCTTACTTCGGAATTTCTCCTGAGATGTACATTTAATGACCATTTGACACAGCTACTAGCACAGTGTTCTTTGTCCACTGGGACACTCGTTTTTGGCAGGCTCATCAGGAAATGAACATCTCATACACAGAGGACTCCAGAAATGCAAACTGATATGAAATTTCATCTTGTCTACCACCCCTCTGTAAAGAAAATGCCCAAATTGTAAAGTAAATTAACTCATTACTTATTTTTATTCTCTTGGTTTGAAATTAGGAGCATTCCTGGGCAGATAGTCACGGGTCAGCTGAACCCAAGGGGGAGCTAGGTGATCATGTGTTTATGATATTTTTCTCCCAACTAGTGAGGGCCCCCTTTGGATTTTCTTGCCCACCCCTTGAAAGAGAATTTTTGTTTGTTACCTCTTACCGACATTTATTTTGACAATTTTTTTCTGAGAGTCCATCCTCATCCTCTCCCACGATGTCCACAGCTGAAAATATCAACGCAACAAGAATGGCAAAGCAGCACACCAGTGCAAAGATCACGATGCACTTCTGCTGAGACTGGAAGAGACAAAGAAGATAAAGAAAAGTCAGTGGGGCAGCTTTCATCAAGGAAACTCAAGGTTTGTATCCTTTGGGATACAATTACTTTTATCACCGCTGGAGAAGACTGCTCTCTGGGTGAAAATGTACAAGATCTTTAAGCTTATTCTTCAACACAGCCTTCATATTCCCACTAAATATGGTGGAACCTGTTAAATAATTCAAGAGCAGTACCAAGACTTCTAAACTAGGTTCAGAAAAGATCACTACAACACCCATTATTTCAAATTAAAAATGAAATACAGGTGGCTCAATAATTGTGCTCTGTCCCTTATTATTGCCACCACCTTCCAAGCTCGATGCAAATTGTACTCAAACTCTATATCCTCTTGCATTTCGTCTCTCATCTTACTCTAAGATTTATATGGTGATGGCTTCTGAGGAGATGCTCCTGGGTCTTCAACATGAGTTCTGTACTTCGATCAGCTTTTCTAGGGTTTTCAGAGCCAGCAGAGAGATGCATTTAAGATGCTAGCATCATGAGCTATTTAACTGACACAGTTCATTTCAAAACACTGAACACAAACATAACCAACATTCATGCTCTTGATATGACTTACAGTTAGAAATAAACGCCTAAGTTCTAGATGGTCAGTCACTCAAGTCCTTATCTTTAGGCCCACGTATTATAATTTGGGGCATCCCTATCTCTAGGGGCTCATGGCCAAAGGTGGCAGAAGACAAAGCCATGATTCTTAGGCAGGAGCCATGGGTACTGAGACAAATACTTTTGCTTGCTTTCTCTCTAGTAGATAAATCTCATGGGGAAAAGCAGAGAAAGAGCCATTACAAAATGTCTAAATGCAGCTTTCAGGGGTTATTTACAGAGGGGGAAGGGTAATCTTCGACCAAGCAGACAGGCTTACACTTTAGTGATGGGAGATATATATATATATCTCCCATTACTAAAGTTCATATATATATATACATATATATATACACATACATATATATATACACACACACATATATATACACACATATATATATATATATATATATGCATGCACGTATATATATAAACCCAAAACCAAACCCGTTGCCATCGAGTCGACCCTGACTCATAGTGACCCTACAGGACAAAGGAGAACTGCCCCATAGGATTTCCAAGGAGCACCTGGTGTATTCAGACTGCCAACCTTTTGGTTAGCAGCCATAGCCACTGAGCCACCAGGGCTCCATGTATATATATATGTCTGTGGCTAACCAAAAAGTTGGAGTTTTGAGTCCACCCAGAAGCACCTCAGAAGAAAAACCTGGTGATCTGCTTCTGAAAAAAAATCAGCCATTGAAAACCCCATGGAGCACAGTTCTACTCTGACATACACGGGGTTGCCATGATTCGGAATCAATTCGACTGCAACTGGTTTTATTTACATATATGTTTATATACACACTCATACACAAATACAAACATACATACATTTGTGGGCTTTGTTGAAACCAGCTATCTCTGCCTCCTCCTACCACTCTCTTGCCGTTTATCACTACAGCCACATGATCTCCGTAGAACTCAGCAGACTTCCCAGAGCTCAGAACCCAGTTTACCCAGAAGTGGCCTCAGGTTATGGATTACAGAGAAAGGTGCAGTCAAGTCAAAGGAATCAATGATGTTTCTGTTACCAAATGGCTGCTTCCTTTTCGTGTTTTCTAATACTTCCTCAGGACTCATGTCCCGTGAAAACCTTGTTCCAAGTCCATTTCTGCCTTCTTTTACTACGTACTCAAAGATGAAGCAAGTAAAGGCAAAGGAAGATGCAACCGTTGTTGTTCTGTTAGCAGTTAGCTAGACTTTGGTTAACTTTAACACAGGGATTATGACTCATTCTTTCTATCCCCAAGCAACCAGCACAATGCCTAACAAATAAAAGGTGTTCAATAAATAACTGTTGTTTAAACAAATAAAAAATGAATGAATGGAATGAAAATCAAACGGCATACCTCCAGGAGGCACAGCCCTTATGAGGAGTGACACAAGAAGTTTCTCTTAAGACTCGGTTGTGACTTTCCTAATAATTGGTTTGTTGCCATGGTTTGGTGATTATAAATTTATAATTCATCCTTTTGTACTCTCTGCTGGAGCTAGAAGCATTTTCATGGGGCATGTTCAGCCGCTATATAAACTCTGTAGAACGGATTATGCACTCATCATGCCCATTGATTTTCCATTCATCCCCAATTCCTCACTAATTTTATTTTTAGGAAGCAACACAGTGAAGTGGTTGAGGGCTCAGGCTTTGGAGCCAAAGTGCTAGATTACGCTATTCACTGGTTGTATGCCCTTTGGCAAGCTATTTAGCCTTTGTGCCTCAGTTTCCTTGCCTATAAAATGGGGATAATAATAGCAACTATCTCACAGGGCTATTACAGAATTAAACAAGATACTATATATAATGTACTTAGGACAGTTCCTGAAAAATAGATCCCACTAAATGAATGACTGCCATTGTTAATATATTTCTATTTGCAACAAGTTTCCAGGTGATGCTGCTACTGTTGGTCCAGGGGCTACACTTTGAGGACCAGTGCCCAGAATATCATCTGTCCTAAACTCTGCTTAATGCATGTTCTCACTTGCCGTGAGTAATTAAATTTCAAATATTAAAAGCATCATGATAAATACATTCTAATAATTTAAATGTAAATCTTGTTATTTATTTTCCTTTTTTTAGGTTTAGAAATAATTTTAAACAGCTTCCCCACCAACCCCACCCCCCATTTTGAAATTGTTTTCTTCTGGCCTTTACTTTTCATTTATTTTAATGATATACACCATTTGTATAATTAGAAAATGTTTGATGTTAACTCTTTTGGAAAACATGTAATATAAAAATAGAAAATAAATCACTCATAATCCCACTCAGACATACTCATCATTGATTTTGTTCTAGTTCTTTCCAACACTACATCTACCTACTTAAGAATCTGATAAAATTGGTATCATGCTCTATATAAAGTTTTACATTCTGCTTTTTGCACATGATCATGTTATAATGGCATTAAATATTCTTTTAAAGCATCATTTTAAACTTTTGCATAATAGTTCATTATACAGACATTACTTCCTTTAAAAAGTTTTTTTTTAAAAAACACTTTACAAGAGAAAAAAATGATTAAATATCTCTTTTCACTTTATCTATTTACTCTAGAATATGTCAACAAAAACAAAAAAGCTTTTAGGAAGATTTAAAGACATTCACAGTAATTTAGTCTAGACCAGACTCCAACCCAGGACAATATGATTAAACTTCAACTCAAAAACAATCCAGAGGAGAGCAACCATGGATACATCTTATTTCCTTGAACAGTGTCAAGCCCATAATGGGTACTCAATGTATGAATGGCTCCTGCTGAAGTTAATACACCAAAAACTCGTTGCTGTTGAGTTGACTCTGACTCATGGCAACCCATGTGTGTCAGAATAGAACTGTGCTCTATAATGTTTTCGATGGCTGATTTTTTGGAAGTAGATCGCCAGGCCTTCTGTTTGAGGCACCTCTGGGTTTGGACTTGAAACTCCAACCTTTGGTTAGTAGGAAGCACATTAATCGTTTGCACCACCCAGGGATCCAGTTAACACTAAACCTTTAATCTACAACAACGATTTGTTTCCCTTTATTCTGAATGTTATGATAAAACAGTAAATAAAGAACCCTAGCTAATCTGGATACTATTGTAACTACTTTGATGTAATAACCCTCACAGATTTCTATTAACTTTCATTAATTTCATTCTATTTATAAATCTATTAAAATAAATAATTAAGCTCTGTATTTTTGTTTTAATTTTCCAAAGAGGAGGAATTCAGATTCTGATATTCATTTTAAAATGTCTCCTTCGAACAATGAAGTATAACAATATAAGATCATACCATTACTTTCCTTAGTTTCATATATTTTCCCTTCATCAAAAATGAAAGATTCTGTTCAAATGATAGCAAAAGAGCATCATGAATGAAACCAAACTCTAGGTTACCAAGGGGTTTATGTATTTTGACTCCTTAAAGGTCATTTCAGATACTCAGAAATCAATTTAAAACACTTTTTTGTTTTTTATTTAATTGAACTGAGGGAAGCACCATTTCAAGGAGAGCCCATAAACATGATTCTAACCTAAAATTCACTGATGATTTCATCTATTAAGAGAAAACAAAATCTGAAATGTTTTTGGCTAATGTCAGTCCAATTTGTACTTCTTACTGCAGTTTAAATTGCTTAGTTCATAAAGAAATAAATCTAATTATGCTAACATTAAAAATACTTAAATATCATAACCTTATCGCATACATTTCACCTCAAATAGAGATAGATGGCCTCTAAATAGGGAAATAGTATTAAACTTTGAAAACAGAAGTACTGTATACTTCCAAGTTGGTCTTTTATACCATTTGATAAGCTCTTAAAAGCAATTTTCACCCATGTGCCTATTTTTTGCATGTAAATGTACAAAAATTAAACAAAAATTAAAATTATTTGTATTGTTTTTCATTTATTTACCTTGCCAAGCTTTTAAAACAAATTCACAGCGAGGTCTGAAGTAACTATGTTTATGTGCGTAGCACTTAATACATACAAAGTGTGAAGTTCTAGTACAATTATTCTCCATGTTAACAATGTGTAAACAAGAACTGAGACATTTGGTTATCAAGCTGCCCAAGGTGACATGACTAGTTGGGGAAGTCAGATTTATTCAGGTCTCTAAATATGAAATCTCTGAATCTGTTTGACGGATCCAAATTTCTTCCTTTTTGGTTTTCTTTTCTTGACTTCATTTCTACCTAATTTTAACTATGGATTTATTATTATTGTTATTATTATTACTATAATTTTGTTCACAAAATTGCATATCAGTCCATTCATGTGGATATGAAGGTTGAACACTTGGCCCTAACATGTGGAGACATGGCATTTTTGGGCCTATGGGACTTCCCTAAAGGAGCCCTGGTAGCGCAACAGTTA